TAAAATTAATTTATAAATTAATATTTTAAAATACAACAATATATTTAATTATTTTTAAAAATATTAATATTAATGCAACCTTAATAGATCGCGACAGTTACAACCTTAATATTAATATTAAAAATATTAATATTAATATTTAATTATTTTTAATTAATTGGTTAATTATACAAAAATTAATATTGTTAAATATGTTATAAAATACAAATTTATTAATTAAATTATTAAATATATTAGATCAACTTAATTTATTGATTAATTTTTAAAAATATTTATTAAATGATAATATTTTTAAAATTAGACTCTAATTATTATTGAATGATATAAAAAATTTATATGAAAAATTATACACAACATATGTTCCTAAACTATTTTCCTAAATCCAAATTGTATTGGCATTGCCTCATTGCCCCACTATTGAAGAAAGGTGGACTATTTTAATTTGAATAATAATAATAATAATAATAATAATAATAATAATAATAATAATAATAATAGTTGGAATTAATTTTTAAGATGAAATAATAATACTAATTAACATCCACCTTGAGGCAGCCACCTCTATTTATATAATCTCATATATGTCACTGAATTTAGCCCTTGCTTTTTTCCTTCCCGTTCGATCACCTTTCCTCCTTGAATCTTGAAGTTACAAAAGCGAATTCCACATCCAAAGCACAATATGAAAGGAACAAAAACATACTACAATTCTTCAATTTCCCCCTTCAAAACCCCACTAATTCAAAGAAATCCTCCCCACTGCTTCTTCCTCAAAATCCAAAGGCTTCAAATAGTGATGAAATCATCTTTAAACCCCACAACACCATCCTTAATTTTCTCTAGTCTAGCTTCCCTGCCTCATTTCATGTCCACCTTCTTATCTAATGCCATTAATCCACCTCTCCACCCTTCCGTCGATCCAGACCATGTTTTTACCGGAAACCTAGCTCCGGTGGATGAGATGAGTCCAACAGAATGCCAAGTCATCAAGGGTGAACTTCCACCATCCCTATCCGGTGTCTACATCCGAAACGGTCCAAATCCACAACACAAACCACCCCATGCTCTACATTTTTACGAAGCTGACGGCATGCTTCACTCTCTCCGGTTATCCGGCGGCCACGCGACATACTGCAGCCGTTTCGTTGAAACCTACAAGTACATGATCGAGCACAACGCCAATTCCGCCATCTTCCCCAATGTGTTATCGGGGTTTCACGGTTTCTTTGATGTTCTTCACTCTTTGATGACCGTAGCGAGAATTATAGTAGGGCAAATAGACCTCATGGAAGGATTTGGTGTGGCCAACACGAGTCTTGCATGCATTGCAGAGAAACTTCTAGCTCTTAACGAGTCCGATCTTCCATACATCATTAAGTCCACTACGGAGGGCGATATCGAGACGTTAGGTCGGTGGGACTTTGATCAGAAATTACTAGCAAGCATGACAGCACATCCAAAATTCGATATGGACACCAAGGAGACGTTTGCATTCCGGCCTAGCCTGATCTTCCCTTATCTCATCTTCTTTCGATTTGATAGAAACGGTATTAAGCAAAGGGAAGTGCCGATTCTTTCAGTAAAGAATTCGATTTTCATTCATGATCTTGGTATAACCAAGAGATTTGCAGTCTTCGAAGAGACCCAATTGGAGCTTTCTCTAAAGAAAGTGCTCATGGGAAGAGGAACTCTAGTGGAATATAAACCGAACAAGACTCCGAGAATCGGGATCATTCCGAAGTATGCTACAAGTGATTCGGAGATGAAATGGTTTGAAGTTCCTAGGTTTAATGCACTTCATATCCTCAACTCTTGGGAAGCTGGAGAGGACGAGATTGTTCTTGTTGGATCCAATGTCATGTGTTTAAAAAATATCTACCAAAAAGTAATCAGGTTTTCATTGGAGAAGGTGAAGATTAATACGTCAACAGGGGAAGTTTCAAGAAGTGTACTTTCTCCCAGAAATTTAGAACTCGGAACTATAAATCCATCCTTTGTGGGAAGGAAAACCAAGTATGCTTATCTAGGAGTGTTGGAAGAAATCCCGAAGTTGTCGGGTGTGGTGAAACTTGACTTGGAAACAGGAGTTGAAGTTGGGAGGAGGTTTTTTGGACAGGGTTGCTATGGAGGGGAGCCATTGTTTGTCAGAAAACAAACATCGGAACAGATTGAGGAATCTGAGGAGGAGGATGGGTACTTGATGACTTTTGTGCATGATGAAAAAATTGATGAGTCAAGATTTGTGCTTATGGGCGCTAAATCACCAGAACTTTCAGTTCTAGCAGAAGTGAGGTTACCTAGAAGGGTACCTTATGGATTTCATGGTATTTTTTCCAGAGATCATGAAAATCTCTAGAAATCAAGACTATTCTTTATTGTATTATTATTAAAATCATGTGAGATACGCCAATGATATACTAGGTCCATTGGTATGTAAGATATATATGTAATTTTTTTTTATATTTTAAAAATAAAAAGAGAGATTGTTCTTCACGTAATGGGTGAAATGATAACATTTTATTTGATAAATGAAAACACCACTGGGATATAATGTGTTCAACCTCTAGCTCTCCCTCTCTCATTTTTCTGTTAAAAATATATAATAATTGTAATAAGTAATTGTCTTTGTTAAAAAAAAATAATGAATAAAAAAAGAGATCAAAAGTAGTAAAATTACTGAAATACAAGGGATGCCCTCCTATGTGGGTAATGTGGATTCTAGCTGTTTGTTTGGCCACTGATCAACACTTCTACCAAAGCAGGTCACTTGATCTCTACAAAACCTGCAAATAGCAAAAGAGTAAGACAATGTTTCATGGTCATTTTGCAAAAGGAATTCTGCTTGCCTAATTTTTTTTCATTAGGGTAATAATTAATACATAATTTAATTTAATATATTTTATAATGTATTTTTAAAAAATTATTATTTATAAATTTAAATTTAATATGAAAAAATTTTCAATTACAAAATTTAATAATTAAACTAATAATGAGTGTTGACAAAAGTATTAAACTAAAAGATGTACCAATTATTCTCCTTTTTCACTTATCACCTCCCACTAATTAAACAAAGCAAAACTTAGTGGTTGGATGAAATTTTCCCATGTTTGGTCCCAAGTAGCACTCATAAACCTTATATATAGTCCCCGAGCAGCACGTGTCAGTAAAACCTTGCGTTCTCCTTTCTCCTTCAGTCTAGGGATCATTTGAAACTGGATGGAAGAGATCCAGTTCGGTTGTCCAGCCCCTGCTCTTTCATAACTTGAATTCTACTTCTCTCCCTGCATCTGTCTTTCTACATTGATTATTTTATATAATCTCTCTCTCTATCTTTTTACATCGATTATTTATTTTTATTTATTTTCAATCAATAATTGCTTGTTTATTCAAATGTTAATTAAAAATAATAATGCTAACTGCATTATTTAATTTTGGAAATATTCGGTCTTTTACTTAAATTCCTTCTAATTTCAATTATATTTACTTGGTGATAAAGCAAAAAAAAAAAAATGGCAATAATCTAAATAATTCTATAATAATATATATTTTTCTAATGAAAGTAAAAAATTATAAGTTTAATTTGCATAACATACAATACAAGTAAAACTTTATTAGGCTAGCTGTGTTGGACAGATTAACAACCAGAACAAGGCAGAAGAAATGGTCTCCTAACATAGATGACACCCGTCTCTTATGTAACAATGGATCAGAGCCCCTCTTTTTCAAGTGTAGTTGTGCAAAGTGTGTTGTGCAAAGTGTGTGTGGCAAAGTTTGAGTGCTATGATTTAAATTCCCTTTTTAGATTCCTAACAACAACTTTTGTTAGGGATGGGGAAACAGGATAAGAAGAAAGTCTGTATACCAAACACTTATCAAGGTAATGTGAAATGTTGCAATCTACCACAGGTTGGAAAGGAACAGGAGAATCTACTAACATATCTACCACAGAGATATCAAGGCCAGCATCAAGGAGGCCCATTCCCACGTCTCAACTCAGGTAGCCGGAACAATGGTTACATGCCACCAGAGTACCGGGAAGGGAACCCGGTAGCCACGGTGAATTGGTGATGACAGATGTGTACAGTTTCGGGATTTCAATGATCGAAATTGCCACGCAAAGGCGGTCCAACTGGCCCGTGACATTCGACGGGGTCGGGGTAGGGTTGGGTGAGTGGGCTAGAGATGGCGGAGCAAAATCGGGAAATGGAAATGTTGGGTTAGGAGTAGATGTTTCCAATGAAAGATTAGTGTTAGAAAATATGAAGGAGTATTTTAGAATTGCTAGTCTGTGCACCAGTGAGGTCACAAGAGGAAGGCCTGTTGGGAAGAACGGGGTGTCACTCGGAAAGCACAGTAAAAATAAAAGTAACACCAAAATCTTTTCAAATCTATTTGAAATTGTTAGGAGCAAGTTAAATTGAGTTCAAATAAATTATAGCAGCAACTGAAAAATATGCAGAACAGTAAAAATAACTAAGGCAAAGCAATCATCATAAGAGATACAATATTTTTATATAGAAAACCCCAAAAATGAATAAAAACCATAAGAGATCCAGTCCACTCAAAATAGCTTTACTATGATAAAAGTGAATACACAATATTCTCTTCTAAAAAGGCACAAAAACCACACCAAATAAAAAAAACAACAGTCACTAACCAACAAAGACAAAAGGAACCACAAAGAGAGACAATCACTAAAACACGAGTTACTATTTAAGGCACAAAAACTAGACTTGGAGAGCTCCAAATGAAAAACTGACCAGTCAAATTGTAGATCAAAGTCTTGTGAAACTCCATACCAAATTTTAGTTCAATCCAACTTTTGTGGATTGAACAAAATTGCAAAACTGTATACTGTACTAACACTTCTTAGATTCCTAACAACAACTTTTGTTATGGGTGGGGAAACAGATAAGAAGAAAGTTTTTATACCAAACACTTATCAAGTTAACGTGGAATGTTGTAATCTACCACATTGGATGAAAAGAAACAGGAGAATCCACATATCCACAAGACAACAAAAGCAATGTGTGATGATGTTTGTTTTAATGTGAGACACAAATTTTTGGAAGACGCTAGGCCTTTTTCCTCTATTTTAAGCACATCTTTGTTGCCTTAAAATGGGGTTTTTGAGGTTTTTGAGACTATTGTACAGAACTAGGGTAACATGCCAAGTCTTATACTATAGCAGCAATAACTTGATGTACAGAGAGTTTCATGGACAAATACAATTTTCACATTTTATCTTAAAAAAAAAAAAAAAAAAGAGATGAGTTGAATTGAACCTTCAGGTTCAGTGGTTCGTCTTCAAGTCTTAAGTACTTGGATTTAGTTAGAGATGGCAATTTGCCCCAATCCCCGCGGATCTCCACCACAGGGACG